TGAGACAGGTTTATCACAATATTTTACTGATGTGAAAACTGAGATGCAGAGAGCTTAGTATTCTCCAAAGTTATTGGGTACATAGCATCAGAACTGGAAATTAAACCAAGTATCATCTGATTCCACATCCAGTTTCCTTTAGTGTTTCAGTCTGTATTCTTATACTCATTCTTTCTCTTATGGGATAGTTCTGTGGTCTGTTGGATAAGAGCTGTGCTTAAAATAGTCAGAGAAGGGCCTCCCTGGTGGCACAAGGGGTTAAGCACCACACTGTGAAGCAATCCGCAGCCTCTGCAGCATGAGTTCAATCCCTGGCCAGCCAGGGATCAACCCACATGGCGCAGGAGACCTTTCATGTCTCACCCACTGCTCCCTTCAGCAGTGTATTTCAGTCAGTCTGCCTGTTCTGTTACCCACTCTGTTTCTGGTGAATCCTCTCACCCCCCCACCCCCACCTGCATCTCTGGTCTGTACCCCAGCTCTTATGTACATAAATAAATCTTTTAAAAAATAAAAAAGTCAAAGAAAAAGCAGATTCGGTATCAAATTTCTGTTCCTTTGTATGGTCCCCTAGTGTCTATCTTCTTTCCAACTATGTATACAAACATTAGGAGGTCAAGCATTCTTTAGTTAATATACAAGATCAATGATTATATATTTAATTCTATATTAAAACTTCATTCAATTGCTGGAGAGAGAAATCCACCTCAAACTATTTTTTTTTTTTTTTAGAGGCATGTTATTTATTTATTTATTTGTTTGTTTGTTTTCGTTTTATACATGCACTGGGTACAGTCAGAAGCGCGGGAGGGCGAGAGAATTCACCAGAGCCAGAACGGGGAGCAGAGCAGGCAGAAGGACTGAAGTACACTGCTGACACCTCAAACTATTTTAAGGAAACTAAGTTCCATGGGTAACATAAGATCTTAGCTAGCCACAGTCCTCAATCTATGGCACCAGGACTTTATCTTTTGTGTATGACATTCCTTTATGTCACCAAGCTCTCCCCTTAAGGCACAAATTGGTCACTATTAGTTGTGCTTATTTTATCTTAACAACACCAGAAAAATCCAGGAGGTGAGATTCTCCAGTCTGGCTGGATCGTGAGCCCATTGCAAAGCTCACCTGATGGCCAGGTCAACGGGACAACTTGACTGTTCAAACATATGTCATAGAATGTGGTCAGTGCTACTTGAACAACATGAACTAAAAGTTGAGGGAAGGGGTTCTCAGAGGCAAATCGAAGTTATGACCAGAATAATGACAAATGGATGCTGACAGAAAAAAGCTGTAAATAGCCACCAGAACAACTGTAACACAGGTACACAGGACATCTAACATAGCCTCACATGACCTCATAGTACATGTTAAAGGTTCAATAACACAAAGCTTGCTATTACTTTGCACAATATTTTGTACCTTGTAAGTCCTCCCAATAACATGTTAATTTGTTTATTTTTTCATTAACTTGCCAATCATTTACATATCTGCATAGCTTTGGGGGGGTCTATTGTTGCACCTCCATAAGCTCAGGGGCTTCATTCACCCTGCATTATTTTATACTACAATGCCCCAGGCATCATGACTTAATTTTTTGTGCCTTCACTCATGCTGTTGGATTGCCTTATTTTCCTCATGCCTCAGGCTCTTTATTTAAATGGCCCAGAATTTTTGTGACAATCTGTGGGATTTTTGATGGCCAGAGGGTCCATGGGAAGCTGGAACTTTCAGAAAGGCAGCTACAAAAGCTGTTGGCAGTTATCATTTTTTCAGCAGGGGTCATGTGTATATGATTTGTGTAGAACAGCATGAGGCAGAGGTACACATCTCATTATCCTATTAATCCTCTAACATGTTGCTATTTGACCATAATCTTTATTCCCCACAGACAAGGAGGAAGAACAAGAGAACAACAGTAACACACACAACAGATTGTGCTTTGATACACATGAAAGATCTGGAGGGAAAATAACTTCATCTGTAGAAAATACTTCATAAAATTTGGCCCCAGTAGCAATTAACTTGTTGGGGAATATCTTTTGGGGGAAGTCATATTAAATAAGTTGTGGAGATAAGCTTCTGGGGACAGCTTTTCCCTTCTCTTTCTTCAAATCTGTTCAGTAAATATTTCAGGATAAGTGCTAAAAGCTGACTTTGCCTCCCTGGTGGCGGATATTATTGTTTTAGAAAACACAGTTTATAAGCAAGATTCTTTAGAATGCTTTGTAAAAAAGTCATTCAACTCTCCCTTGATGGCACATGAAAATAGCACAGGGGACAAAGGAACTCCAGAGAGCAAGTGATCATGATTAGGACTTCAGTCTTCTTGTTTTGTTTTTGACAATTTCTTTGCACATAAAATTTTTTTGCCTTCCATTTTACTTCTAAAAGCAGGTACATGGCAATCAACATTAACTTATCCAACCAACATTTGTTGCAGAGTGTATGGATAGTTACATATCTGTAAACAAAACAGACACGGTCACAGCTCTCAAGATCATATGCTTTAGTCTTGGAAGACAGAAAATCACCAAATAATTAAACAAGAAAATTGTCAGAGAATAAACAAAAGTCAAAGAGTTGAACTAGGTTAATGTGATAGTGTGCAAATGGCAAAGTTGGGACAGCTGGTTGCAGCAGGTAAGTTGATATGCTGCTAGATCCTACTAACAGAACAGTGTACACATCCCCCAGCTGCTGGAGGATAATGCTGTGGTCAGTGGCTTAAACAGGCAACATTTTCAGGAAGATCGCCTTTGACTGGTAGAAGATGTCTGTGAGGTACCCAATAACTGATTGATCCACAAAATCCTGGCTCCCTTTTTCAAGACAGGCCACCTGTGAGCAATGATTTATGCTTCAGATTGCTCTCCCCACTCTATCATAACTCACGGATCAGGGCAAGGCTAGACATTTACTAAGATCACATTGAAGACTAGGTCCTTATTCTCTTTTTCTTCCCTGTCATCCTCAACTTTTTACAGGTTTTTCTTAAAGCTCACACTTAAAATATGTCATGTGCTCTCAATTCCCTTTCTCAGGCTCTGTTTCTAGTAATCAACGATCAAGCGGTGGTCAAGGAGGGCCTCTTTTGAGTTATTATATTTAAGCTGGGAAATGAGTGATAAGATGTAGCCAGAAATGCAAGTATCTCGTGGAACAAACATTAAAGAGTCAAGTAAAAATCTTGGTGAAATGCACTAGAAAGGGGGAAAGTGGGAGAAGAACAAAAAGGGAAAAGTTGGAGTGTCTTAAGCACTAAACTCAGATTTTCTAGGATGAAGATTTAGCCCAAGTGTAGTGGGAAAGCTGTTAGAAGCTTTGAGTTGCTGTGTTCTGGCTCATGTTTTGAAATAATTTCTCTGGAGAACTAAAGATCAAAATGGAAGCAGGTAGATCAGGTCTGAGACTTCAAACAATGACCTTGGTTTGCACTAACAACTACCATGTCTGTTGTGTGCTAGACACTTTACACATACTTTCCAAATACCAATAATATCAATAATTCTGTGAAGTGAGTACTGTTCTATTTTAGAGATAATGAATCTTTGACACAGATTGCTTAGATAGCTGCTGTGAAATTTTCCAGCTATTTATGCAGTGGTATATTTGTGATACAACCAGAATATCTGGCTCCCAAACCTACATTTTTCTTACTATTCCTTCCCTTCTCATCCGCTTTCCTCTGGAATAGTTTTCGCTGAAAATAACTCAATCTCTTTGGCTTGTCATGTTTGTGTTACCAGAAGTATTGAAGCTTCTCTATCCCATTGGGGATATGAGTCCCTGCTGAAGCATCAGTCCTTTGGGCCTCTGAAAAACTGGTTGCCATTATTCAAACACATCTGTTTGTAATTGCTAGGTGCCCTTACAATTCCCCTTTTTGTCAACATAATTACTCTCAATTATATGAACACTCTGCCCTGACCAGCCCCAGGATCCACTCCCCTGCCAACTACAACAGTTGATTTCCAAAGTCCCTGACACTCTGGTCCAAACATATGTACCCTATTCTCAGCTCCAAGCAGAAGAGGGTTCAGGTCCAAAACCAGTGTGAATAGAAACTACTTTTTGCTTTGTCTATATCATGATAGCCATGCAAGAGATGGCTAATTACCTAGAGATGTGTTTGGAATTTTAACAAAATCAATGACTTTGTCAACTAGAGGGAAATATGCGATGGGCATTTAATTTGAAAGTGGGTCTCTTGCCATGAAAAGCCAGGAGAATCCAAAAACTCCTCTCTCAACATAATGCAGATAAAAAAGAGGAGCCAAATCCACTCCTAATAATCAGTTTAGAACTAGGGCAGATGATATCACCCAAATTTCAACAGTATACAGGTTTGAAAATATCAACTTAAGAGCAAAAGTAGTTAGAGTATTGATTGAAGAGTAGACTAAAACCCAAACTTTGAAAAAGAGCAGGTTGGTTGCAAAGTTTTCTCCAGTCAAGTGTAAAATTGTGAAGTAAATATGAAGTGAGTCCACCGTACATTAAAATACAGAAGGCAAAAAGGAGAATTATCATTTATTTAGTCTCCCTCCTGCCTAACATAATTTAAGATGTTTTACCTCTATGATGACATTTAATCCTTATACCAATCCTATGGGTGTGGTTATTGTTATTCTAGATTTCAAATGGAGCAAATGGACTAGAGATCTTAACTTCCCTGAGGCTATACACTTAGTAAATGGCAGATTCAAAGGACACCTGAGCTCTGGTCTGTGTTTTTAAAGGCACAAGAGTTTTTCAATCTGCAATAGCAAAAATGGAAACTCAAGTGAGCAAGGAAGAAAATAAGAAGAGGAAGAAAACATCGAAAGAAAGAAATTTTCTTCAAAGATACCAGACCAAGTAGATCCAGCAGCTTTTTAATTTGGTGTAGAGATAATGTGGATCCCAGAGTGTATTAATTACAGCTTGATGAATGTGTGTGGGTGGATGTGCACTTGTACCCCAAAAATGACCACCTATATTGTCTATCATTCATTTCATAGTGTATGGTTCAGTTGCTCTCAGATGTACCCCTTTGGCCCTACTCACTAATGAAGAACTAGTCAAGTCTTCTCAACCCATGCTCCATGGAGCCTGCAGAAGCGTTTACCACTCCTGCCAGACCACGCCTAAACAAGTTTCTTCCCCACCGTGGTAAGGCAGAATCTAAACCTAACCTGTGCTGCTCAAAAAGAGTTGTCAGTTGTCCTGGTTCTAATTCCAGACCCGAAGAGATAATCTGAAACTAAATCCACACATTTTCAAAGAACTTCCAGTGCTCTATTTGACTTCTCCCTGCTTTTTCTACATTTTTGTCAGTTTTGTTAAGCAGTTCTCCTTGTTCCAGTGGTTTGTACAGACACGAGGTGACTTGCAGGCTGACAACAGACCTTTGGCTTGAGGATAAGGAATTGCTATGAGGCTCCCTCAATGGAGTCCCAGCCCCCTTCCTTACTTCTCCCCATTAAGTTAGTCCTAAACTCAAATACAATCTGTCTCTAATAGCAAATGTTATCTTCCTTTTTTATCTTCTTCTTCTTTTTTCATTTTTTTTAATTTGTTCATCTCTTTGGATCATCCTCTGCAATTTTTTGTCCCTTGTCCACCTAGAAGTCAAGCTTGTCTCCCATGAACTCTTTTCTGAGTAATGCATGGCCAAGTAGAGTGGATAGAAATTTCCTTTATCCTCTGGGGTGTCCTTTGAAAATTGAGAAATGCAACTGTCAATCTTAGGAGGTTTCAAAGAGAACTGCATTCAGAAAGGATAAGCGAAAATATGATCAAGAGAGCATTTAAGTCTCAGTAAAATGCATTTTGCTGAATTGACAAGGCTGAGAAGCCCACTTAGAAAAGGCAATCCTCTAACAAAAACAGCATGGTGATGGTCCCCAGGTTTTAAAGGCCCTCTCTCCTGGCTGTAGAAATGTCCAGCTGGCTGGTTCATCTGTGTGGTATCTCAATGGAATAATTGAAGTCTAGAAAACTGCAGTTTGCATAATTCCTTTTCCCATGAGTGTCCAACTTTGTGCCTATTCTAGAGTTAAATATAATAACAACAACTATCAGTCCCTGACTAATACATCAGGGACTTTTCTGAGCACTGTTCCAAGTGCTATGTGTTCATGACAGCTCTATGAGGTTAGTATTATTAAAATCCCCTACTTTACAGTTGAGAAAAATGTAACATAAGAGAGATAAAGATTTGTTATGGCCACAGTGCAGGTAGATTTGACATCAAGATCAGAATTCTTAGCACTCTGTGTCCATCTCAAGGCTACTGAAGATTAGAGCCCCAGGCAAGCGGACCAAGATCTCACTATGCTTGGGTATGGGTTGAAGAGAATAAGAGAATTTGAAAGTATGACTTGCCACTGTGTGCCGGGCACCTAAGGGGCGGCCCTTTATATATGCTTTATAGTTTAATCCTTACCACCATCACTCTGGCACTTTACTGTCATTAACCTCATTCATTAACAGGCTGGGGCTATTAGTGTATTCCCCAAGGACATTTATTTAGTCATTCATTCTTTCAACAACTATTCTCTGGATATCTACAAAGTATCACATCCTGCCCTGGATGCTAGAGCCAATGAAATACATGAAGTTACAGCTCAAGGAAGGAGATGGACACTAATAAAAAAGCCACATGGGATTACAACTGCCATAAGTGCATTTGAGTGCTTTCAGGGTGAATATGTGCCTAATAAGTGGGTCAGGAAGTCTTCCCTAAGGAAGTGATGGATAAGCTGAAATCTAAAGGGTACAGAGGAGGTAGTGAAGAAAAGAACAGGAATATTCCAGAAGATAGAAAAACAAGTACTAAGTACTGTAGGGGGAGGGAAACCCATATGAGGAATGGAAAGAGAACAAGGAGGGTAAGATTTGTGGCAAGAAGTCATGAGACTTGATGAGGCCAGAGCATCTGAGCTGGATCGAGGTCCCCTGATCCCTGTGAAATTTCCCATTGTGCCCAGACTTAGTTGTGTGCAGTCATTTTTCCATAGGGCTGCAGGGCTCAGCAGAGTTGTCTACAGTCTACTCCAGAGGTCAAGGGATAGAGGAGGGTACACAGCTCAGGCAAAGGTCGGCTGAGTTGAGGAGGAGAGTGACTGAACCATACCTGCCAGGTAAGTTTGGCTGTGATCAGTTGAAACAAAAGAAGTGGTCTTCCCTCAAGGGAGAGAGATGCTCATTGTGGGACTGGCACCTAAGGGCATAGAAAGTGTATTATGTAGGGGGTAGAGTTGGGGAAATTTCTCTTTTGATTCCATCAAGTATGGCAAAATCAGAAAATCCCTTTTTGGAGATGAGGTCTTGGGTCAGTCATCTTGACAAACAGAATTTTTCAGAGTCCTCTGCTTTGGAACAGTATGTGGCCTGTCCAGCAGCATCCTCGGTCTGGTGTGACTTGTACTGCACTGGGTTGGACCGTCTATTCTCTATGTAGGCCTCTTGCAGTGTGGGGAACAGTTCCACAAGGCATTTGACTTGTAAATGGCCACATTACCCAGTGGGCCCAGATATTATAATGTGTCTGATCTGCCCATAGAGTTGAGACCTTACAGGCAAAGGCCTTGCATTACTTATTTGGGAATCCTTTGTCCACTAAACTGGTATCCAGATATTTTTCGGTCCTTCCAGTTTCAAGAAAACCTACTCTACAGAGCCCAATCTCCACAATCCTGGGACCTTGATAGATGAATCTCTACCCGTCCAATCCTATTCAACACTCAGGTATCCAGCAGAAAATTTGGATAGTGAGGGATGCATGTCCTTCTTGACAGGATCCCTTGATGCTATATGACTGCCTTTCTTTCTGAGATGCTAACTCTATTCACCTATGCCTTTGCTGATCTCTGACCTATTCAGTGAGTTGCCTGGATCTCATGTAGACCACAGTCACCTGTTGCCAGCTGCCTTTCCACCTGTACCTCTGGTAATCAACAAATACCAGCTGGCTGCCCACCTGTTTGTAATCTGGAAACTTGATGCCACCCATCTGTAATTGTCTGCAAATCCTCTGCTTGAATGACCACTTTGGATACTGTATTCCTTCTCAGCTTCTTGCCAGGACCATTTGCCTGCCACCTGTTCTTCTCTCTCTGGGACAGATATCTTGCTTTTGTGCTGATCTTTGCTTGTTTGGGTTGGGATGTGACCTCAGCTATCATGCTCCCTCTGAGTCCTTGAGGCCTGGAACCTACACATCCAGGCCTTTCAGCTCCTGAGGAAAGCTGATTGTTTTAAGCAGACCCAAACTCGGGCTGGAATTGTTTTTCTGACTTAACCTAGGACCCTAGATTATCCATAGTAGATTGTGCACTTACATTAATTCCTACTACATGTTCCCAATGCAATGTATTTGTACTTGTATGTTTCATTTATTCATTGCTTTTTAGCTTTCCACACATTTCTGGGGTCCTACGTTTCTGCCCAACCACTGCCTCCTTGATCCTTCTTGGGAGAAGTCCTTGTCTGCCTCAATCCAATGTCTCATAGAAGTTTTCTGATGAATTGAATGGACAGCCTTGAGCCACAAACCACCTCCCATGTGACTGTGGGATTCCAGAGATTTCATTCCCAGGGGAATCCTGTTTCCATGTTCTTCCACAAGAACAGCCTCCATCTGGTTATGAGATTTGGACTAGTTCTTACCTCTGGGGTCAGTCATAACAGGTGTCTTTGTGCAACTTATTTAATTTTTCAGAGTTTGGTTTTTCTCATCTATTAGTGAGGTTAACAATTGTGTCTTGGGCCTTCCTGGTTGCACAAGGGGTTAAGTCTCAGCACTATGAAGCCGTCAGCAGCCACTACAGCATGAGTTTGATCCCCAGCCAAGGAGCTAACCCACATGGTCAGCAGACCTCTCCTATCTCTCCCGCTGCTCCCCTCAGCAGTGTGTTTCAGTCACTCAGCCTGTTCTGCTCCCCACAGTGTCTCTGGTGAATCCTCTCATCCCCTCTGCCCTCACCCAGCTCTTGTATGATAAATAAGTAAATCTTTAAAAAAAAAATTGTGTCTATATTCTAGAGGTTTTGTGAGAATTAAAAGGTTAAGATAAGTGCATGAAAGAGTTCCTGGCAAGACAGTATGTCTGAACTAGTCCTAGTTACCGTCTCTGCGTCCTGTCTTTCCCCACTAGTGTGCTGTGAGTAGAAACCTGGCCAGGATGGGTCAACATTTCAGAACTACTCTCAACTCTGAGGTGGATGAACATGTTGGCAAAATTGACAAAGATCCTTGCTTGGTCTCCAAATCAAAAACCTTGCAGGAATCAAAATGTGCAAAGGAAATAAACTTGCGCACAATCACTCACTAATTATTTTATTCATTTAGGAAATATTTGTTAAGTCTCTGTTTCAAGCAAGGCATTGGGCTCAGTACAGGTACCTTGTCTCCTGTACAAAGCAACTTAGATTGAGCATCTCCCAGGAACTGGAATTCTTTTACATGCCATGCTGAATCCACATACCTTGCCCCAATAAGTTCTGCTTTGTGAAACAATACATTTCCCTGTTAGACAGTGTGATTTCCTGGTAGACAATACATTCCTGTTAGACAATACATTTCCCTGGCAGACAGAGCTGAAAAGCTTCACATTTGTTGCATTCTTCCCATCCTTGGTGATATCACAGATCCAGAGCTGGAGTAAGAGGAAGGCCTTAAACTAAATCCTCCACAGAGACACCCCCACCTGTACACCCTAGCATCCATAAGCCTCTGAGTCATTTCTCATCCTTTCTTGCCCACACAGTGTACACTGACCCCCACTCTGCTGTCCTCTGGCGCTTGTCATCATCCATGCCCATGTCTTTCTGTGCTGTAAGCCCTTCAAGGCAGGGTCCCCATCTGTCTGAATTATCATGTCCTTCACCAGACCAATGCTCTTGATGGTCATTATCCTAAGCAGGAAAACATTCTGGGCAAATGGAAAGCAGACATTTTTTTCTTCTGGAATAAAATATAAAACCACTGCCCAATATATCTTGGGTACTCTATCAAATTTAGAAATATGTCCATAATTAAAAATGCCAAGGTGAATGCTAGTTCTAAAAATTGGTTTCATTAGTAATGGAAAAACTATTTTAATGTATCAGATTATAGATAGTATTGCTGCTTTTCACAAAGAAATTAATTTTAAATAGAAAGAATGG